AAACTGCTCACAGACATTTCTTTCATATAATTATAGCTTTAAAGGATTCTAGATCAATATATAAGGAAAATATACCTTATTTTTTGTAAACAAAAGTTAGACCTAATTGTCACTTACTGTGAATGCTAATCTCTTGAGAAATCATGTCTCAAGAAAAATATGATTTGCCAATGAAATTAGGGAAATTGGACAAAACAAAAGTTTATGGAGCATTAACCAAACTGTGAGCAAAAGAAAAGTGTGCAATTCTCTGCTGATGAATGTTCTGAGACGGAACATGAAAAGGAGTGGATTCAAAAGGGAAGTAGTAAGCAGCAATGGGGTTTGAAAAAATCATGGTACATCAAGAAACAATTAACATTTTACAAGAGTTCTTAATAACCAAAACAACTCTTCATTCTGATATTCAGTTTCAAAAGACAGCTCTGCCATATTGCCAGTTTTAATTACAACCATATACACTCATTTAGATTTATCTACTGAACAACTACTTTCAAGTACGAGAAGGAACTCAAAATAGACACGACTTGTGTTACAGCTATTGTTTTTCCCTCACAGCTTCAGGAAAAACACCTTTTATATACACTGTAGTAAGTACAGAATGTACAGAACACAGTTATATATACAAAAGTGCATTAATATAATAATACATTTAGCAGAAATACAGGAAAGAAATCCTGGTTAACAATCTGATACATTACAGTATTTAAGACTACTTGAAGATTCTCCAAATGAGTCAACTTCCTACTTGCTTTGGTTATGATATTGATACTACAGAACTAACCTTTGAAACTAAAAAAGGGACATTTTTAACCATCTGTGAAATGTTTTACATATACAGGTTTTTACCTTTAATAGCCTTTGACAACAGTCTTATTAAACTCCCAACACAGAGATTTAGAATGGATAATACTTGTATCTAAATTAGAGAACTTAAAGGAAATCCGCTACAGGAACAGACATAGTCTGCTCCATTCCTAAAAGCCTGAGCTGGATAACCTATCCCCAAAGTCAAGAGCAAGCAGCTCCACAAAACAAACCATGGCTTCAGGCCACTGTTCCTCAGAACAATTCAGAATAGGTCAGTGTTAACTTGTCACTTAAAAGCATTAAGTCTAATACAGGAAGAACTGAGGGTTGCTAGATGGGACAGGGTGGGGATGAAGGAGAAGGGGAAGGGATGAGACAATACAATTGGGTAATTGTAATATGGCCGCAGGGATAGAAAAAGACAGTCCGAGGAATAC